GGGCCTTGCACCATGTCCTGGGAGCTCGTATCTGGTCCTGGGAGCTCGTATCTGACCCTGGGAGATTTCACACCATGTCCCAGGGGTCTCCTGCTGTGTCCAGGGAGCTCGTGCGGTGTCCTAGAGGTGTCACCCCATGTCCCTGGGGTCTCACGCCGTGTCCCCCGTGTCCCCAGCTGCCCCTGGACAGCAGCACGCTGCCCGAAGCTGAGCGCAAGGCTCGTCTGCGCCGGCACTTCCCCAGCAAGCCCAAGGCCAAGGAGGAGGAAACCTTCGAGGGCATCGACCTGGACACCTACACGAAGTTTTGGAAGAAGTGAAACCCTGCAACCAAAAATGTACAAATATATAAATAAATCCGTGTCAGGAAAGCCGTGTGTGGGCGGTGCGGTTGTGTGGGGCTCCCCCCGCGCTGCGCGGTGTGATGGTACCGCCCGCCCCGTTCCCCCCCGGCGGTGCCCGCGGTGGTAGCGGCGGCRCGGGCGCGCGCGGCGGCCGGAGGTGCGTGAGGGCAGCGGGGGCGCTTTGGGATTTGGGGATTTTGGGATTTGGGGGCTCCGGGTGTGACCCCGCGGGTCGAGCCTGCCTGGTCCTTGCATTCCTCAACGCGGAGGGGCTGGGGATGCTGGGAACACCCCCGGGCTGCTTTCCCACCCCTCCGGGACGGGCTGACTCCCCCTTCAGGCCCTGCAGCCTCCAGGTCCCGCATCTTCCCCCAGCCCTGAACCCCTTCCCAGACCCTGAAACTGCTCCCCAAGCAATGTCCCACCCCGAGCCGTGCTGCCCCTTCTCGGGCTGTACAGCCTCCCCTTCAGGCCTCCCCACCCAGCCCGCCCCCAGGCCATGAACCCTTCCCAGCTCTCATCCATCCAGACTSTGAACTCTTTCCTACACCCTGAAACCCCCACAGGCCAAGAACCCTTCCCCTTGAGGCCCAGAACCCCCATATGGGCCATAACCCCCTCCATCAGCCCTGCAACCTCTTCCCAGACCCTGAACCTTCCCACCTCTATTCCTGAACTATCCCCCCACAGGCTGTGAACCCCCCTCACCCTCCAGCCCCTTCCCAGAGCCTGAAACCCACAACCTGTGATTCCTCCACTTCTGTCCCTAAGCCCCGCTTGAGGCTCTGAACCTCCCCCAGACCCTGAACCCTCTCGAGGTCACCTTATGCCCCCTCCTCACCCCGCAGCCTTCCCCCAGGCTGGGACCTTCCCTTGCCGTGCACCCCTTTCCAACTCAGGGTTATAAACCCCCCCTTTCCAGCCTGTAACCCCCCCCCTTCCCCAAAGGCCTCTGGTTTCTCCACTGACCCCTGGGGGGCCAAACTTGCTTCCCTGCACCTTCAGGAGCCCCTCCAGGTTTGCATGGAGGAGGTGAAGTGGGTAAACCCAGGGCTGATCCCTTTGCAGGTCACCAGATTCCCCCCAAATCTGCTGTGGGGTCTGGCACCATGTTYGGCTCCTCCCGGGGCGGGGTCCGGGGGGGCCAGGACCAGTTCAGCTGGGAGGATGTCAAGACTGACAAACAGCGTGAGAATTACCTGGGTAAGGGCTGATCCTGCCCAAACTCCCCCTCCCACCCTGTCCCCTCCAATACAGTTTTGGGGTGTGATGATGTTGAGGAGGGGTYGTTGCTCCCCACAGGGAACTCCCTGATGGCGCCGGTGGGCCGGTGGCAGAAGGGGAAGGACCTGACCTGGTATGCCAAGGGCAARAAGGACACGGCCCCGCCGCTATCCCGGGAGGAAGAGCTGGCTGCTGTCCGCCTGGCCGAGCAGGAGGCCATGATGGCAGCTCTGTGAGTCCCCACCCCCTTCACCCCCCMAAAAAGGGAGTGCAGAGCCTCCGCCCCACATCACCTGCTTTTATTTTCATAGAGGCTAYAAGAACTTGAAGAGGCAGCCCACAGGCCTCAGCAAAGAGGTAAGGGGGCATCATGTGTGTTCCCCCAGTGTCCCTGAGGGGTGTCCCCTCCCCTCAGTTCCAATTTTGGGGACACACGCAGGACACTGTCCCCCTTCCCCACAGGACCTGGCCGAGGTGTGCAAGAGGGACGGCGCTGAGCGGGACGAGAAGGACGTGGATCGGGTGGTGGGTTTGGGCAGCTCCAGGTAAAGGGAGGGAAAGATCCCRCACCAATCTCAGGACAATTGGATTGTTTGATTTTAGTGTTTTTATGCTTTTTTTTTTGTGTGGTCTCTCTGCAGTGGCAGTGCTGGCCGGGTGATGCTCTCCAAGGAGGACAAGGAGGCAGCCAAGATGGGGCTCTCTGTTTTCACGGTACAGAGGCGGTCACATGGTTCTTGGGAGATTCAGAAATAGACGAAAAAAGGCAAAAAGCTGTGCACAGACTTGGAATATTTTGTTTAAAAAACAGTCTGAGTATTGTGGCACAGAGATCTGCAGGTGCCAAGTTAATTTGTGGGGCTTTTACATGGAAGCAGCTTTTAAGGGTATTTTAATTTTTTAATCAAATTTAATTTTATTTTTTTTTTTCCAAATTTAATTTTTAATAGGAGAAAAACCCTTTGTCTTCTAATTTCAAGCTATGGGTTCATGGATTCACTCCATATTTTTTCCCCTCCTCAACCCTAGCACCAGAAAGTCTCCAGCAGCCCAGAGACATCTGGCTCCAAGAAGAAACAGGAAAAGGAGGAGAAGGTGGAGGAGAAACGGTGAGGATTTTTCCTGCTTTGGTGGGAAACCACCAGAAATGGCCTGGTTTTTGTGGGAAATATTTTACAAAATGTTTCCATGGCTCTGTTTGGCATTGGGCTTRTTCTGCATCTGTCTGAATCACCCCCAAAAACTTCTGTGGGCTTCTGCTTGGCAAAGGAGGGATGTGTTGGGATGTGCCTGGAAAAAGGGATGGGGATGAATTTTTGGAGCCAGAGGGAAGCACAGTGCAGGGATTCTCATTGCTTGATCTCTTTCCCACAGACCAGAGAGCAGCAAAAAATCCAAAAAGGAGAAAAAGAAGGAGAAAAAGAACAAGAAAAAGAAGAAACATAAGAAGGAGAAGAAGAAGGACAAGGACAAGCATTCCAAGAAGGATGCTGACCCATCATCCTCTGATTCCGATTCTTCCCCWGATCGACACAAGAGGTAGCTGGCTTGGGATGGAGGCTGAGCCCTGGCSTGGGGGCATTATCAGTGGAAAATGGGATGAAGGATTCAGGAGAGCCACGTGGTCATGGCTGGCATCAGGATGCGCTGCTGGCATCCCCCGGCTTTCCAAAATCCTCAGAATCACCTTTGTTGGTGTCCCCAGTGTCCCTGCTGTCACTTTCCCCCTCTCCCCGCAGGCACCACCGCAGGAAAACGCAGCAGCACTCGGAGCCGTCGCGGCACGGCAGCCGGCGGCGGCACGACACGGAATCCTCGGGAAGCAGCGCGGGTTCCGGCCGGAGCCCCGCCCGCCGGCGCAGCCAGAGCAGGGACGGCCGGGGCCGCCACCCGTCCCCGCGGCGCAGGGGCAGGAAGAGGAGCAGGAGCAGGTCCCCCCTGGCCCGCGGGGTCCGGCAGCGCCACGACACTGACTCGGAGGACTGAGAGGGAGCCCGGGGTTGTTTCAGGGAGATCTTCCATAAAGTTTATATTTTTTAAGGTGATTAAATTAAAAACGCCGCAGCTCCGCGGGCACCGGGGCAGAGTCTGGCAAAGGGCATTAATGTGGTGCCAACTGCCCCTTCCCTGCCCACCCGGGGGCAGCACCAGCAGGTGTGGGGGGCATCAGGGGCTGGGCACCCTTCTCCTCACTCCCCAGGTCCATCCATCCACACAGGACTGAGCGTAGAGGAATGCTGTGGGTTGGGGGCTGGTGCTGGGTTGGTTCTGGCTGTGGTGCTGAAAATGCTGTGGATACCTCGTGTTTATGTATAGACACTTTGGAAGAGATTATTATTATTATTATTATTATTATAGTTTGTTGTCTTTCCTTGCCCTTGAGTGCTTGTCAGTGCAGTGGCTGACAAATTTCTTTCCTTAAAAATTCACTAAGTTCATCAGCTGCATGGATGGGACCTTGAAGCTTATCCAGTTCCAGTCCCCCTGCCATGGGCACAGGGACACCTTCCCCTGAACCAGGTTGCTCCAAGCCAGGTCCAGCCTGGTCTTGGACACTTAAATAATTCCTCAATTTACGGGRAGAAAGTGGATGGGACCAGGTGTCTTCCAGAGGCTTTTGCCCTGGCCCCATCCACCTGCACCAGGGAGCAGCAAACTCCATTCCCATCCAGGACTGAAACCCTCAGAACATGGTTATTTATGTTCGTGGCATACTGAAAGAAGGGAATTTTACATCAATAAATAGAAATACTGATCCGAATCGAAAGAGGTTGGCCCGAGCGGCTCCAGAGCATCGCCGGCTGCGGTGTGGCCGTGCCAAGCACAAGGGCCTCATTTGTGTAATTAATGATGCAATTGAAGACAGGGAGGGTTTGTGTGTCTTGGTGGACAAAAGCCCAGTGGGACCGTGCTCAGGAGCTGACAAAGCCCTTCTGTCCCAATGTGTTCAGCCTGGGCAGTGGGAGATGCCGCAGAGCCATCACAGCCTTCAGTAATCCCCACCCCAATACAATTTTGGGGTTGACAAGCTCTTGGCACGAGGGCTGTTCCTCGTGGTCTGAGCAGCTGCAGCTGCAGATCCATCCCAGGGATCCCCATGGCACAGCTGGGGTGGCCCTGAGCCCGTGCACTCCCTGGCCAGGGCTCTTAACCTGCTGGTGGCTCACCAGACTGTGCTCGGTGTCCCCTCCAGGGGATTTTCAGATCAAAAGTGTGGCTGGAGCCTGCTGTGAGCACCCCAGAGCAGGGCTGTGCACAATGGGAACTGGGCACGGGAAGCAACAGGTTGGAAAGGGAACCATAGGAGAGTGGAAACACAGCCAGCAGAGAAAAAATACCAGAGATCCCAGTRCCCTGCTCCCTGCATGGGCTTCCACTTCCCATCATCACCTCCCAGGCAGATGGGACAGATGCTGTGGCAGGGCTGGGCTCTGCCAGGGTGATTTGCACCCACAGCTCCAGAGTGTCCCAGCAAAGGGAGAAGGGTGATGTGCCCAGCAGGATGGCAGAGGGGCTGTGGCACAGCTGTCCCAGTTCAGTTCTGCTCTCTTGAGCTTTCTCCCACCCTTTTGTCACTACTTGGCCTATCCTGCTCTCTCCCCTTCCTGTTTCACACTCAAACCCAAGATCTGAAGGAATCAGTTTGAGAAACATGGGAAGCCAAACTCAGGGTGAGGGGGGTGAAGCAGTCCAGCTCCATCCTTGGCCCAGGGCTGCTCACCCCAAACCCTCCACGTTCAGCTGCTGCATCAGTTCCTGGAGCAGCTGATGGGGAAGGTAAGAGGATCACCAGGAGAAGGAGCTCTGTCCTGGAGCCAGAGGGGACTGCAGAGAGGAAAAATGCAAACCAAAGCATTTAGGAAGGCAGAATACCTATKTTTTCCCCACAAAACTGCTAATTCACAGATCCTGTAATAGAATGGGACCAGAAGGAGAAAAAAAATCTGTTGTGGGAGGTGATGGGGCTACTCAAGAAGCTCAAGCTTTGCTGTCCCTGTGACTCCAGCAGAACCCAAGCATCACCCACCACTTCACCTGCAGTCTTCCAACCAGGAATGATACATTTCTTAGGAAATACAGGAAATATSCTCCAATTTTCATGCAAATTGTGATGTGGCAAAATGCTGCGTGGATTTGGAACCGCTGCACAAAAATGATACAAACCAACACCATACCAGTGCAAGTTTCATGAAACTTTTTATTCAACAAGTATTTAATTATGATTCTGCCAAGATGATCGAATGAACAGCAAGGCATAAAAAACATGAAATAGTTAAGAGATTTTATTCTAATAGCTTTAATTACAGTGCTTGTTTGTCGAAATGAAAACTGAAAACAAGTATACAAAACAGTTGATTACTAGTTGTGTATTGAAAGCAATAAAGGTTTCCACAACACTAAATAAACCAGTTCTGATAGTTCCTCGAGTTAAAGTTTAACAGCTCCAGCTTCTTCAGTGTTTATCAAAATACAAAAGAAAAGTAAAGAGGTCTTTTTTTTATTTTTCTGATGGCAAATCTGAACCTTGCAGTATGAGGGATGCCAAGGGTTTTCACACATATACAGATATGGGATTGTTCCAAAATGGGATTGAATACTTGTAGAGTGGAATGACTCTCCAAACTCTCATGCTTTTTGTTTTTTTCCCTAGACGCTATACATAGATGTTTGGTGTTTTTCATGGCAATTCTTACGTTAAGTACAGTACTTTCTGCTTATAGAGCTTAGGACTAGGACAGGCTGTGCTTCCTGTGGAAAGGTTTTGCCTTCTGGAGTGGTTTACGCACAAGAAAAGTACAAAACACTTTTTGACAAATGAAACAGGCTAAAAATGTTGACTTCTGGAAATGATTCAAGTTCAATGGAAACGAGAAATCTCACCTGAACCAAAAGTCAGATGTTTAGCATGAGTCTGCAAAGCTCATCTAAACCAGGCCCGGCAAATCTTTTAACRGTTGTGAACAAAGATGAGCACAGACTACGAGCTACAGAAAGAGCCAAGAGATCTACTACTTATGATCTGTTCATTAAGCAGATGAAGCTAATTGGGTGTCAGTCATTGCTTCACCCTTTTGAAAGAATCAAGAGTCACCACATTAGAGCTGGAGCAGCAGAAGCGATGTCAAACGTTTGTGTGTTTAAGTGTTTTACTTTTCCTTGTCTATTTAAAAAAATACAGAATTCAGGTTAAAAACCAACCACCAAAATGGATCTCACAGATCTCACAACCCAACCAAGATCGAATTCAGCTCTACTGCACAAGGACCACTGGCAACCCTTATGTTATTAACCCACTTAAATCCCTTCCAGGTACTAAACAGTGACTTGATTCTTTACAATAAAAAAGCTGAGTAATATTGCATAGGAGTACCAGAAACTGCCTCATTGGAAACAAAAACTATTTACATTAAATAAGAAACCTAACTGTTTTCAGGCTTGTATTTGCCACATTTACAGCATGATGCAATATATACTGTGACAAAAAGAAATGAAAACAGCTTCCGGCACTCAATACCACAAAGTAGCACAGTTTGCCACATTAGAGTAAAGCGAAGGGTGAATAGGAGGAAATAAGAGGGAGGGGTGGAAAAAGAGGGAAGAGGAAGGTTTATGGTTTCATTTCTGGTTTCGGAGCTGATTGGACAACCAGTCCAGTCCTTCATAGAGACCGTCTCCACTAGTGGCACAGGTTGCCTGGATGTACCAGTTCCTGTGACGAAGAGAATGCAGTCCAAGTTTGTCTGTGATTTCTGCTGCATTCATCGCATTCGGCAGGTCCTGAAGGAAGGAACAACAGTCATTCCCCACTCTTTTCATCACCAGCTTTAAAGGCATCACAAGAAAGTTAAGAGCTCTCAGAACTTCTCTTTTAGAAAAACAATTTGGATTACTTGGATATTCAAACCACTCCCCTGCACTTGATGAAAGCCTCAAAGGTTTAACAGCATAATCAAAAGCAACATTATGGAATATTTCATAGGGAAGAGAAACAGCTGAAGCCTGGACCCAGTCATTCTCCCTCAGTGCTGATCCAAACCTGCTCACAATTCCAAGTCTGTTTCATTCACWATCCACTCAGGAGTATCCTTTCTGTGACAGCAGTTATAAATCAAAACTATCTTTTATCACCAAGTCCTACTCTGCTRAGCACAGCTTCCTTAGGGCCCACCTTTCCTGCTCCTGGACATGATTTAGGGAATCTTCACCCTTCCCAAATGAGACTGTGCAATCAGTGGAGCAGGATGTTATTCCATCTTTACATTTCCTAGTCACACTTCAGGCCCTTGACATTTGGGTTTAAGCTGCCAAAACCTTTACAAGCAATGAAACGCAGAATTCTCAGCTAACTCTAGGGCCTGGAAGAGCCCAGCTCACACGACACCACAAGAACATTAAAAGTCAGCCCAGTGCTTCCACCAACAYCAGCAGTACCTTCAAACACCCTAAATGAGGAATTCAGGGAGGTTCTGGCATTTCAGCATTTCTCTGAGGAAGAGAGGAAGGAAGGAAGTTTGGGCAGGTYCTATACTTGAGCCACATCAACCTCGAAAATAAAACTGTTTTTTGCTAAAACTGAAAAGCTCTTAGCCAGGACTGTTCAGAAGGATGCTCCTTTCAGATGAGAATTCAATCCACGGTTTCCTGCCTTCAACATACCTGAATAGCTACTTATTGTGAGTTTATTTATCATTACATTGAAAATATGAAAAATCAAGGTCAAGATCTGGCACTCACAAGGATGTCAAAAGTTTTCAAGGGTTTTGACAGAAAGACACCTTTCGTGGGCATACCTGTTTGTTAGCAAACACTAATAAAACAGCATCTCTGAGCTCATCTTCTGCCAACATTCTCATAAGCTCTTCTCTGGCCTCATTCACACGTTCTCTGTCATTACTGTCAACCACAAAAATCAGACCTAGAAATAAGCAAACAAGAATAAACATAAACCTGAAAGTTTCATGTTTAAGAGTTAAGTCTGTTCTTGCTGAAAGATGGTGAAAACTGCTGTTAGTTTGCATTTGTGTTTTTGCAACGGGGATAGGAGCAGCGACTCCTGAACTGCTGTGACAGGACTCAAAGACAGGCACATTGTAAAGGCCCAACAGCGACAGAAGTGACAAACTCTCAGTTCATGGGGCTGCAGAGCTTGCAGTAAAGACTCTGCTTTGAAGTGAGGGCAGAGCTGTGATGGTGACAGAAGAAAAGCAAACTTCTGAACTTGCTCTGAGTCAGAAGGACAAGGAAGACTGGTTTCTGGAATTCTTCCCATCCTCTTTGAACCTGTAGTGGCTTAAGAGAAGAGCCAGAGCAGCACACAAACACACCCTTTTACAACAATAAATGTTTCCACTCCCCTCCAAGAAAGCTGCAAAATTAACTTAGTCCAGACATTCAAAAAGCCCTCTTAAATTCTGGAAACCTGGAAATTAGGTGTGTGGACTCACCTTGTGTGTTCTGGAAATAGTGGCGCCAGAGTGGCCTGATCTTGTCCTGACCACCCACGTCCCACACTGTGAAGCTGATGTTCTTGTATTCTACTGTTTCCACATTGAAACCTAAAACAGATTGTGGCACAAATCTCAGTTAAACATAGCTGGCCTATTGTATTTAGCAAGTCACACACAGAATGTCATCACTCAAAAACTTWAAACTTGAATTAACTTAAACAAGCAGAATCTCTTGCTGAAGCTCTCAAAGTGGACGAACGTGGGTTGTCCTGCTCCCACCATCACCCCCAATGCAACCACACTAATGAACACATCTAATTGCCACCTGAGCAGCTACAAAAAGCAGACTATACTGCCTAAAAAAAAAAAACAACCCAAAACAAACAAAAAMCCACACACCCCCTGGGTTTTAAGAACTGCAAATCAGGTTTTTCAATACCCTCAAACAGGGGAAATAAAGTGAATCCTCTGCTTCTCAGTCTGATTTAAATGATGTCACAACAGACTGGGAGACAAATTGCCCTTCTGTGGCCCACAAAGGCTCATTCCACAAGCAACTGATGAGAGGGAGTGGAGTGAAAAGAGTCACAATCTCCTACCATAGAAGAACTTTTGGCTGTGCCACCTTCACCCCACAGCTTGCAAGTTTGTTCTGACAGACAAGTCACTTAAATCAGCTGAGAAGATTCTGCTGAGACCCAAATCTCAAAGCCATCAGTTACATAAATGTAAAAATCTTACCTATAGTAGGAATAGTAGTTACTATTTCACCAAGTTTAAGTTTGTACAAAATAGTTGTCTTTCCTGCAGCATCCAGGCCAACCATTAAAATACGCATTTCTTTTTTGCCAAAAAGGCCTTTGAAGAGGTTAGCAAAAATATTTCCCATGGTTGAGATATGTTCTCACTGGCCAGTGAAATCTAGAGGAAAAAGATCAGAGTATCACTCATGAGYTATCCACAGTTCTGTTTGGAACACAGCATAAAAACCACAAAAAACCTGAAGSAAGACATAATGTGAATAATTTATAGACACCCCAGGAACCCCCAATGATGCAACACTAAGATGAACAGATGTGCCAAAACTCAGTGCCTATGAAATGACCCAGYTTTGAGTGCTTGAAATGCTTCACATTTTCTTTCAGAGATTTTAACATTAAACACTGTTCTTAAATTTTTGCTTGAAAAATTCATACAGCTGACCACTTCAGGTACTTTGCTCCCCGTTGCTGTGGGATAATTTATCTGCAGCAAAGTATCACCATTAAACAAACTTCTTCCAATTGGGCTGCAGATGATAAGTTTTTGCTTAGCACAGCAATAGCTGGGCCTTCTTTTGGGAAGGAAACTCAGAATACAGCCTGGATTTTCTCCTACTCAGAACAGTTTCCTTCCTCTTCAACCCTGAGGAAATGGTCTGTGAACAGCACATAAACACAGAGCAGTTACTTTCATTAACATCGGAGAGAGACTTCTGTAGGAAGCAAATCCACATTTAATCACCATTTCACATTTAATCAAACTTAACCATTGAGAATTAACAGCCACATTGAAGGAGCAGGTTCAGAGATGAGCACTTCCTTCACAGCCAACACTCCTGCCTGGGTGATTAAAGTGATTAACGTCACCAGGAGCTTCCTATTTAGAAGCTGCCTCTGCACTCCAGCCTCACACACTTCTCTACGCCCTTGGGAATTGTCCCATCCCATCACAAATCCCCGCCCCCCTTTCAAACTTACTCCTGCACAGTTTATAGCAGTATTGAAATCACCGTGAGAACTACTGCTGTGCTTATACAAGGCACGAGAAAAGCAGCCTGGAAGCTTCACAGACACATTACAGACATGATTCACACCCTCACTGCTGCTGGGTCTAGAAGCTCTCAGGTGTCAGTTAAAGAAGAGACAGAGCCCAACTGAAAATTCAAGTTTCAAACACGAGATGCACAAACAGCCAATACATTCAGAGCACGAGTTTCCTGTAAACCAAATCAAATTTAAAGCATAACACAAAGTTTGAATCATCTCTGGAAAAAGCCTCTTATTTCATGATGAAGCTGTACTTGAAGCCAAACTCTCACTAGAAACAGACTCTGTAGAATATTTAAGTACATTAAGGCAAGATTTGAAGTAAAAAGCACACCACAACAAAAGCCTTGTTGCACTCTGTTTAGCACTGTCCTAGGGATGTCTGAGAAACCTGCCCTCCCCATTCTGCASTGGGAAAGGTCTGAGCAGTTCTTTCCTCTTCAGGAAGCTTTGCTGGATACAATTTTAACACAAAAGTTAAATTCTGTAACATTAACTGAGTCACATGTCTAGAACAGGCAGCTCCACAGGGAAGTTCAGAGTCCACGCCAGGGTTCCTGAAGGACATCAATCCCCACGCAAACTTGCCGAAGCAACTAGAATCAAAAATTCATTTATTTTATATGACTGAAGCTTTAAAACTGAACTCCCTTACAAAAAAAGACTGGGCAGCCTGTGCATTAAAACCAAACGTGAGGTTTTTAAGGTTTATTATTCCACCATTTCCTTTGCATTTCTGCAACATGACCATGGATATTCCACTCCCACTGGAATATATGAAGGCTGTATAAACAGGAAGGTTAATTAGGAAGCAGAGAAAACAGTTTTGCTGGACTCCCCATTTCTCCACAGCAGGAAATCTGCCATCCTAGCCCACAGCAGCAGCTCTCACCGGGCTGGAAGGCAGGGAGACTGTAAAGCTTTCCTTTGTCTGGCTGCTCATGCCACCTCTATCTTCTGCTTCATCTGGAAAGCAGCAGTCAGGGCTGAACTGTGACCTTTTACCAGAGCTCACATAAAGTGACTGCAAGAACTTTTGCAGCAGCAAAACCTTAGAAGTCCCAACAAAGAATGCCTTTCTTTGGCTTGCACACGTTTAAAAGCATATTAGGTTATCAAATACTTGGACTGATCACAGTAATTAGGGAAAAGAACAAAATCCTGGATATTATTTACATCCATGACATCTTTCCACACCCTGGAGAAGTCGCAGGCTGCTGAACAAGTTGCTTGTACTTGGCAGTAACAGCAGTGAATCCCGTTAGATCCTTGTTTTCCTGGCAGCTATTTCCAGGTCAAGCCTGCCCTTCGCCACTGAAGCTGCTTTTATACCTCCCATCCTCCCTATTTTTACTTTTTGTAAAGAATAAGAAGCTAAGATCTATTTAAGCACTTGGTTCCCATTTCTCTCTTGTTCTCTTTCACATCCCACCTATCTAAACTGATTCTGTAACTTATTTGGTACTTCACGGTAGGTGGCATTACAAAAAGTCCCATTTATTTTATAGGCAGCACAGTGTAGTTTATAGCCCACTCCTGGTTTACAAGTTGACTAAAAAGTAGTTAAATCCTTGCTGCCTAAAAGAAAAAAAAAAAAAAAAAAAAAAAAAAAAAAAAAAAAAAAAAAGAAACAACCAAAAAAAAAAAAAAACCCAACCAACAGAAATCCATCTGCAGAAATCCCATAAACAGTTTTGGTTCCCAGCAGGGCTTTGTTTGATGGTACTGAGGCACAGTGTCTGTGTTCTCCCCTGATCAGCAGTCACATTCATCTATTCCCACAAGAAAGGAAATCACACTCCCATGGTTTGTACTCCACACTCCTCTCCCTGCACTGTCACAGAAACTGCCTCGATGGTCCTGAGCTGCTTCCCAGCCTTGGCTGCCTCCATTAATACAGCTCAGCTGAGGGATCATGCGACTGTTTTCTCTGTATTCCAGGACCGAGCTTTAATTCCCATTTCAGCCYGTTACTTGGGCCGTGAGAACGTGCACAGTTTAAAAAGTCTTAACTTTCCTCTTGTATTAAGTTAAGCAAAACCCCCTGTTATTCCCAGGCATCATCATCCCTTGCAATGTATATCCTCATATCTCACCTACATTCCATACTTAACTTCTTCCTTCCCTCCACCCAAATGTTGTCAGTAATTGCTACACTGATCATTTTAGAAACATAGGTTGGATAAAATTCCTGAAAACATAAAAGACTACAGCTTGTGAGCTGCTTGTAGTGCTTGAGCACATCTTCAAAAGAGGGATCCATCAGGCTAAGTGGGAAGATTTGAGTATGAAAGGAAACAATTTGAATAAACAGCACAGACTATTTCTGCAGAGCTCAGTGTGTATTTTCCCTCAGTATAACTTCAGCTTCTGGAAACGGTGGTTTAGCACCCCTTACCAAACCCAGATCACCCCAGTACTGAACTGTCTGACTGCTTCTGCCCATCAAAGCCCTAAAGGACTTTTAACACAATCCACTCCACCTCAGCAGCACTAGAAACCCGTCAGGCAGGTTCGAGTAAGATACCATGTGCCATTGCTAAACAGCAGGGCTGACGTTCAATGGATAAACTGCAGTTTCATTTCATGAAACGAAACTATTTTCAGTGCCTGTTTTCTAGTAAGTGATACATTCAGATAAGCAATTAGGAGAACAGGCAGCCTTTTGCAGAGACGCTCAGAGTGAGGAGTTAAAAATGAATGAGTGTCTGCAATAGCAGCAGCCCGGTGGTTGTTAAAGTGATATGGCCCATGAGGAAGCAGCAGAATCTACTTTTATTAATTGTAGGTGGTTAGAATAAGAGCTCTGAGAAATATCTCAAGACCAAAGATCACTAAACATTTAATCATCTGCAGCCCTTTATATTTAAACGTACATTAATGCATTTGAATGTCATTTCATTCAGGCTGCTTATCATGAGAAGTCCAATCTGCTGCTTGACCTCCAAACTCCTTGGGTGAGCTGCTGGTTAACAAGCTCCACAGATGTAAGACCACAAGAGTGTGCAGGCCACCAAAAGAGCATAATGCACCTTGAAATTCCCACACAACCTCAATTTTACACCTCTGGAAAAGTTGTTTTTGACCACCTTAACTTCCCTGAGACAAGAATTGTGTCAAGTGCCAATGTTTCAATTAGGTTTATACCATTTCTTTGACTATACCAGAGCAGACAAAATCAGAGGTTAAGGCAGAGAATGCCACATGTATTATTTAGTCAAAACTATCCAGTAGTATAGAAATACATTTATTTCACTTCCGTGTAGGAGCACTTACCACATAGGGCTCCCACAGTGCAACCATAATTCTCAAAACTTTACAAGTGTTAAAACCAAGCCTGCTGGGCTTGTCATTTTGGCATTCTGAAAATCCCAGCAGCCATGAATGTGGCAGGGGGTTGGAATCAGACGTGCTTTAAGGTCCCTTCCAACCCAAACCATTCTAGGATTTTATGGTTCTATGATAAGATCAGTCAAGAGAAGTTCAACCCTCTGTCCCTTCCCTGCTGTAGTAGGGGGAGTAGGCTGAGATGGAGGTACAGAGGGCATTTCTTGTCTCTGGAAGCTGTTACGCCTCCCCGGGATGTTCATATCATGTTTTAAAAGCCGGTTTCAAGGAGAGAGAGATAAACACAGTGCCACTACTAATGACACACTGTGCTACACAGTTACAATCAGACAAAATATTAAAGCACAAGTTAAAATCCCAACAGTTGCAGATTTACAAAAAAAAAAAAAACTGCTTCCTGGCAGCTTCCTGCACCTTGTTCCATTTGCTTGGGTGCCTGTGGCAAGTAAAACTAGCCTGTTTACAAAGACAACAGATTCACTACCAAAATTCCATCTCCACTTAAAGGAAAATCTACTTAACATTGGCCTGAGCATTAACTCCATGTTTAGAACAATTTGAAAAAYCCCAAATCCATAATTCTTAACCTGGTATTAACATACTAGTTCTATCAGTCACAGAGGAACAAAAATGGATCAATTTGTTATTCACCARAAACATTGATTTGAAATTCAGCCAGTAATCACTAGTTGGTCTGGACCATTCTTTTTAATTTATAGCATTCTAAAATGTTTTAAATTAAATTATCAAGAGGAGCAAAATATTCACACAAGAGATCACCAAACCAATGTGCAAATAGGAGGTGAGAAAGCATTTTTTAAAAAACCCAYCCAACTTCAACAGCTGTTACTGATGTGACATGCAAGAACAACTGGCAAATAATTAAAAGTGCAAATCTAACCCGACAGCTTGTTCTTAACAATATAAAGTGTGATTTAAAGGAGAATGTGAGAAGAAATCCAACAAGAATAGAACACTGCTAAAATTCAGGATTAATCCACAACCCCAGCGTTTCACACCCCCACTCAGCAGAGAACAGTGCTGATGTGTTCTCTTGAAATAATTTCTTTACAGATTCAAGTGTTCTGTTACAGCAAATTTTGGAAACACCTCTTTATATATAGCCAGGGTGGCCCAATACACTATTCTAGTAGAGTTACATTCAACTATTTTTAGAAACTGTTTACTGGCCTTCCACATCTGATAACCTGAGAGATGACAATTTATCAACTGAAATCCTTTAACTTTGGGGCCTTAACACTGAWATGTAGCTCAAATAATTTTGATTTGAGTCACTTCAGACCACATCGATATCAGTAGGCATGGATTACGCGTAAAATGAAAGAGTAGCCAACAAAGAGGTCGGGCCCTTTGTTCACCAGGTGATTCATTATCCTGCACAAACACCACTGTAATAAAGGCCATGGCAACAACATCTTCTCAGAGCTCTTCATTAATATTAAGTTCTAACTCCTTTATATTTTTAACCATTAGAACCAGAGGAGTGTTAACTGTGTGGAGATCAACACTGAGCAGTACAACCATTTGCCCYAGCTCACAATGAGGATGCTCCTGCCAAGTTTGGGATGGAAAAGGTGTCCTGAAGGATCATAACCTATTTATTTGTCTGTGAAGAAACAGGTAGCAACATTGAAATAAAAGTTAAAGATACATAACTGTGCTCAGATCTAAAAAGGAACAGTTGGATTTGGCCACCAAAGGCTTGCAGGGATCAAGTAAAAAGTATCCAAGAGCACTCTGCATGTTCAAGGCAGATGGAAAACAAGCCAAGCACCAGTGAGAAGCCATGTGGAAGGAAATGTGCTTCTCCAGCATCTTTGTTTAACCCAAGGAGGTTGAACACCTCGCTGTCTACACACCTTTCCCAGGTAGRTCATGACTGGAACAGTCTCTTGAGAGCAGTGGGTTTGGAGCAGCAGAAAACAGAAAAYAGYTCCATTTACAAAATCAAAACAAGGACAAAAGAGGGAAAACTTCCTTTGGGGTCATGCCTATTTCTCAGACATAAGAACAAATCACTTCTAAAATTATGGCCAGAAYAAAAAGAGTCACTATCAAAGAGAGAGGGTTGCTGCACTTGATACTCAAATCCCACATCAGAATTAATCCCTTATTCTCACCTTCAAATAGGAGTTGCATCCATGSCCTCCCTGCCTTTAGCTGCCCAGGTAATAATGTGGCGCCAACAATGCAGTTGTGACACCCAAGAACTGMCTGTGACTTTGTGCTCACCAGTTCAGCACTGGGTACACTAGTGTGAGAACTGGCCAATACAAAGAATTTCTGTTCAGATAAGCAATGCACAGTCGGGGTGGTTTTTTGTTTTTGAGGCTGAATTGTTACCAAGTTCAAAATCTTCAATTTTAAGCCAAATATCCTGTTATTCATTTCCAGGGAACTGGGCACTAAAGTCAACATTTACACTCCTAGTAGAAATAGCAAGAACTCACACGAGAGCTCCATCYAGCAATGAAATTGGCTTTTGGTTTCGGGGAAATGTCAAGGAACAGCCTCTGAGTTGTGAGGTACCAGAGCTGTGTGTGAGCAYGAGCTGTGCTAGACATGAGTTTTATTAGAACTGAAACATCAGCAGAAGTCCCACCACAGCCCTCCGACATTTGCGTGTGTTAAAAACAAGGAATAAAATCGGATACTTGCAAGCAGAAAGGAAAAAAATGCTGAATTACACAGAAAAACAGCTGCTGTAGTAGGAAGCTGATTCTGAACTTCTTTACTCATCAGTTAAAGAAAGGGAATCATGGCTGAGGATGGCGCCAGCTCCAACACAAGCTCTGTATCATTCCAGGAGCAGAACTTCCAAGAGATTTCTAAAAAAAGAATCAGAACTATTCCTTTTCAGATAAAGTTAGCTCACGTTCACCAAATTTATCCACTCTAAAGCAAGCTGGATGTTTGGGAAGGCTGTTGAAATCCATAAGAATTCTTGCTTGAAAGCCCATCTTTAAAAAGAAAAGGTTGCTTTAGAAATAACATCCTCTGAGATGTATAAAGGTGGTTCTTTAAACTTAACCACTGCCAATTCAGCTGAAATCCTGGGTTGTGAGCTTTTCCTCCTTCCATCAATCCATGCCATCAATGGCTTAGCTGATAATTATCTGTATAAATGCCCCTGCTTAAAGCAGCTGGAGCAGAGCACAAYTTGGTGAATTCCCAGGAGCAGAATCCAGCCCCTACTCCCACACACACTTGGTTTGCCTTGAAAAGCTGTGACTGGTCCTCCCCCCACTTGGTCAGCATGACTAACACTCACAGGGAACTCGGTGCATGAGCACAGCTTCTGCCAGGCCCTTCCACATTCCAACTATTTCACAACCTAGGAAATGTTCAGAGAAACCAATCTGAGATCTTCAGACCATTTGCACCGAGATGTTTGACTTTTAACAGGATTTACATCACAAACACAAAGCTGTACTGAGGGGAGGACAGCTCTRCTCCAGCCATTTTTATTCCTCATGCTCCACCACAGGGAAAACACCAACAAATTTGGCAAAGCTGTGGAGTTGGAGTTGAAGAGGTTCAATCGAGGTGAGTTTCCTCACCCTTTCACCCAATGCAATTATTCCAACAGGGAGAGCAGCCCAACAGGGTTCTCCAGCACTGCAGACATGTTTGTAGCACAGGAAGTCAGTGGCATCAAACCAACCCCAAAAACCTTCCTTTCAGAGAATCCCTTTATCCATAAGACTGTACTCCTATTTTATTGCAATAAAAACCCCATGGATAAAAGGAAAATAGCAATCCTCCACTTCAGCTACACTTCCCTTTTTTTCCCACAGAAGTGCTCCAAATCAKCAGCAAAAATAGCACTAAAGATATTGCTGAATGACCTTGGAAAAATCCACTTTACCTTCATTTCTCCGCCTGGAAAATAAGGTTAATGGAATACCCTGCAAAAGGGTGCTGTGAGCCTCGCAAGACAAAGCTCAAAGTATTAAATAAATACTTGGAATTGTAGTTATTGACAAAGCTACAATTTCAACACCAGACCTCTGCTCACGACTCTAATCAACCTGTGGAATTTGCTTTGGCAGGAGCCGAGCAGCAAAGCCACAAGGTCAATGTCAAACATAACAACATTTGGGCAGTTTTATGCCCCGGCAGAGTTAGTCTCGCTCTGCCGGGGCAGAGCCGGGCTATCACTTCATCACAGAGGTTTATCAGCCCCGAAGTATCACGTTCACCGCTCACGGAGACAGGATGGAGTATTTTCAGACAGAATATAATATCCTCCCACTGGGAGCTGCTCCGCCAAGGAAAGCYGATCTCCCACACCACCAAACCCAAGCCGATGGATGGCAAACAAGAGTTGTTTGCTCCAGGGAAAGCTCAACTCCTCAGCCCGGCAAAAAAAATAGCAGTTCAGCAGCCAAGGGCTTACAGAGAAACAATCTCTGCCCCACGAGCTTCATCCAAGCCTCATTTCCCCCACAGAGGAGGATTTTCAGGGGGAGAGGAGAAGAAGGAAATGCCTCTCCTTCCTCGGAGCCGTCCACGGGCGGGGCAGAGGCCGGAATGAGCGAGTTTGGGGAAGGGAGGACAAGCCCATCCCGTCTAATCCCATCGCTAGAGGGAGCGGAGCGGGGCCTTGTGCAGCTGCTGGCGAGCTGGAGCGATTCCCCTTTCCCACCCCTGCCTATCCCACTCCTTCCCACTCCATCCCACCCAAAAGCAGGGAAGCGAAAGGCAGGACTCCCCACTCCCCCCCCCACCAAACCCGTGGTGGGGGAGACAAATGGGATAGCGCTACTCCCGGAGGCCTTCGGTGCTGTGGGAGAAAAGGAATGAGTAGAGATGAGATGGAGTGAGACGGAATCAAAAGGAATGAGAAGGAAAGAGAAGGAAAGAACCGCCCGGCCCCGCTCCCTCAGCGCCCGCCGTCGCCTCCCCTCAGCGCAAGGCCGCGGGGTGCGGGTGGGGGCGCGGCGCGGCGGGCKGGGGGGATAAAAGACTCGAAAAGAAGGAAGAGGAATGTTTCGGCAAACCCACCGGCGTCGTCGGGGGCCGCGGGCCGTGGGTCTGGCTGCGCTCGGAGGGTCCCGCTCGGAGCCCGCTCGCCCCGGCCGCGATCCGCCCTGGAGCACAAGATGGCGGCGTGAGGCGGCCACGTCAGTGCCCGCCCCGCGCGCGGCACCACGGGGAAGCGAGGAGGGCGAGGGGGGCGTGGCCTGTGCRGAGGRGGCGTGGCCAAGGCGGGCTGCCGCAGCGCGGGGGCCGCGGAGGCGTGGCGTAGAGACGCAGTGGGCGTGGCTAGGGCTGGAGTGACAGCTCTGGGGAGGCGGGGGCGTCACCCACGGGAGTGGGCGTGGCCACAGAGGGAGCTGCTGCACCGGGGGCGTGGTTTGATTGTTGGCCACGCCCACTGTGGGCAGCGCGTGACCGGACGGGGCGCGCGGGGTTCGGGTCCATTGGGATTGCGGGATTGGGGTTTATAGGGACCGT